TGGTGAAGCCGGTGAGGGCCGGGGCGGGGAGGGGGAGCGGGAAGGGGAGCGGGGTCGCCATCCCCGGGGTCCCCCTCCCCGGGGTCGCCTCAGCGCCGGGCTCCGGCCCCCGGGTGAGTTCCTCGCTCTTCTCCCGCCGCAGCCCTGCGCGAAGCAAGCGGGCGACTTCGACTCCTCTGACGAAGAGGCCGCTGAGGAGGACGCGAGGCCGCTCCCCGTCTCCTGGTGAGGCGCGCCCCGCGGCGGGCGCGGGGGTCCTCTCCCTCAGGAACGGCGCGGGCGTTTGCCTTGCATCCCGCTCCTGCAAAACGGCAGTGTTTTCCCGAAGGAAAGCCGCGCCGGGCTCCGGTGACCTGCCGGGGCGAGGGCCGGCCTGGCGGCGCCCCTGGAAGGGGATGCACTTGGCGCTGGCGAGCTGCCAGCGGGTGTGGGGCCAGGTCCGCTTCTTGGAAGCGTTTTGCTAGTCGCGGGGCGGCGTGCTAGCCCGAGTGTCTCGGCAGATTTTGCCTGACAAATCCCAGCAGAGAACTGCTGGTGGTGACAATGTGAATTTTTCCCTCCTTCGTTGAAAGCAGTTACTCGACTTTCATTAGCCAACTCTGAGAAATAGAAGCTTGGGACTAATACCACGCTAAAGAACTAAAAAAACAAGTGTTGGATAATATTTGAATTTAATCCCGTGGGGATTTGTCAACACTTTCCTCCCCTTGGGTGGGGGTATGTGATGAAGTACACTGCAAACGTGTGATTCCCGGGTCTGATGTTGTAGAAGTAACACTGGAATATTTCCATTTTATCCTTAAAATCAAATTATTGGTAGTTAACTCTTCTCATGGTCCCACGGAAAAGGAATGTCTTGTAAGTTATTGCTATTCAAATAATCAAAATATTTTGATTTTTTATTTTTATTTCCTGATAGGTTGTCTTTGTCTCCTGTCTACTCCTCTGAATTCCTGGGATTATGTTCCCTTCCAGGTAAGAAGCATTCACTGAAATTTGCAGGCATGTTTGAAGCTGAAGAGCAGTAATATCTTTGACCCAAAATTCTGTGTTCCATTGACTTGGGGTGACTTGTTTTATAATCTACCACCGGAATATTTGTTTCAGAAATACCAAGATATTTGACAGAATATCTTAATGCAAGATCATCTGGCTGAGTGGGAAGAGAATAGTGGCCATCTTCCACCATCATTTAAGAGTTGGCTTTTTAGCCTAACTCACTATTTATAACAAGTAACTACATAAGTGAAACAAGGCTGCTTTGACAAATAATTCCTTTATAAAATATATTGGGCTCAAATTACACTCACTCGCTGTGCTGACAGTTCTGTACCGCTCTCCTTTAGCGTCTGGGTTGCACTACCATGGCCATGATGTAAAAATAAACATATAAGCTTTCCCTGTATTTTTAACTACCAAAACTGCAGCCGTGGTGAATCTCCCGTGGTCACAAAAGAGATAAGACAGAGCTGCTGGTGGTGACAATGTGAATTTTCCCTCCTTCATTGAAAGCAGTTACTTGACTTTCATTAGCCAACTCTGAGAAATACAATCTTGGGACTAATACCACGCTAAAGAACTAGAAAACAAGTATTGGATAATATTTGAATTTAAGGTACCTTGAAGTGGGGGACGGCCAGTGCTGACGAAAATCCTGCTAACACTTGAACGCCACTTAACTCACATGCCAAAAAATAGCTGCATTATGTTTTTTAGCCACCTGAGCTCTTCACGTAATAGCTATTTAATCTTCAGATGCTAAGCTCCAGTCGTAGCCCTGCCAATACAGCCCTTGGTCTGCAGGATTCTGCTGTCATGCTTTCAAAAGGTGTTTCTAAATACGCACAATCCTGACTGTTCTCAGGGCAGGCATAAAGATTGAGTGCTTATGGGGCCATGAGTGAAGGAGGGGAGACAGAGAGAGGACACAGTGCAAATATATCGAGCAATTACATCTCACAAAGCAAGCAATAGCTATGAATATTGTGGTGCGCTATTTTGTAGGGCTTGCAAAAATGCCTTGGTAGCATGATCTGAGGAAAAAACGGAAGCGGTGATATGCTGAAGACTGAATATTAAGGAGGATTTTTAATGTGGTTTGTGCTGAGTATTACAGAACAGGGAACTTCTGTTCCTACCGGTCAACCAGACAACTCTTAAGTGATCTCCATCCAGCCCCCTTATTTGTTGGTGGGTTTTGTTATGTGTTTTGTGGGTTTTTTTTGTGGGTTTGTTGGGTTTTTTTAAGCTGTACCCTGATTTATAATATCCAAAACTTTTCATCTGGAAAATGCATAGCAGCTTAAAAACTTGAGCAGTTTTTCTTTAATCCTATTACATTACAGTATTAAGCAGATAATCATGTTTAAACTGCCTTCTGCACTAGTGATCTATTTGCAAAAATAAGAACTGAGTTTTATTTGGGGTGAGGCTTTGGTTTTGGTGGGAGGTCATCTGTGCTCTGTTCTTCAGCTGTAGCAGCCATTGCATCAGTGTCACTTACCTGGAGTGATAATTGTCATTCATGATTTGTTTTAGGTTGCAGGTTTAAGGATGTTAGAAGAAATCTTCAGAAAGATATAGGTGAGTCTTCCAGCCATGTAGAAGTGCCTCTCACTTCCATGCAACGGGCAAGAACAACGCGCAGGTAAACTGAAAGCATACGCTACTAAGGGGCGAGAGGTTTCCCTTGTCTTAGTCTGGAGACTGCTGAAGTTGCTGTTTATCTAATTTGGGCATAAGGATCCAGACACCAGGTATCTAAAACATGGCTTGACTTCAAGGGGTGGTGTCATTTTACTCATACTTCTGCAACAGATGCTGTAGTTTTCTGCCTAACATGCCGTGATGTTAGAATGCAGGGCAGTTCTTTACACAGTCTTGCTGGGAGTATGTCTGACAGTAATGAGTCTGAGTCTTGGTAACGCTGCTTGGAGATGCAGCAAATATCATAGCACAGGCACTGTTATGAGTTCTAGGTATCACTTTCAAGTGTGCCGCGCCACTTTCTCTGTGGCTTCTCTACCAAATATTGCAGAAGTGGTCAGGGTATTTGCAGGCGGGAGCTGTAGAGGCATCTGCGTATCTTTCACAGTAACTATGAGCTCTGCTAAGTCCCGTGCAGGAGAAGGCATCTTCAAAACAGCTAGGACCAAGAAGTATTACAAACTTGTAATCTCCTTTTCCCAGAGAAAAATGAGATTGGGATAGAAAAGATGAAATCGTGTAAAGATTTGTGGCTGGTATTCATTTGTAAAAACGAGTAGAGCAGAGACTAATAGCAAAAACTCGCAGTGTTTGGGCATAGTCACAGCTGGAGACGGGACAGAGTCATGCCTAAGCTGGCAGCAGTTAACAGGATGTTCTGAGTGCTGACATGCTTTCTGGTGATGCCTGTCTCAAGACTCACTCTGAACAGACAAAATTCCTCTCGTGGGTTATCTGAAAGCAAACGTGGGAGAGACCCAGTAAAAGAAATGCAAAATTGCTAACTCCTATTGTCTTAACCTCAAAGATTAAACATGAGAATCGGTACCAAGTAGCTTATCTCTTTATCCTTAAGCTTGATAAGCTTTTGTTTATTTGCAAGTGTCTTAATCTGTTGGCAGAAGAACTGAAGAACTATGGGACCCAGGATATATTTGTGCTTTGCACCAGAGGAGAGCTCTTAAAATACCGAGTACCAAACCTTATAGACACCTACCAACAGCACGGGATCTGTGTGCACCACTATCCTATTCCTGATGGAGACGCTCCTGACATTGCTGAGTGCTGCAAAATTCTGGAAGAGCTCAGAAGCTGCCTGGAAAGTAACCGGAAAACAATCATACAGTAGGTTCTGGTTGCCCCCCTTTCACTCCACATTCCTGTAAAAGATACCAGCTTCTCTCTAGATGCATGACTAGCTGAAAGGGAATCCTGTCAAATGACAATTGCTTTCTTTAGCACTAGTTCAAGCTGTGAGAAGCTGCTTGTTTCTCCTCATGTACCCTTTTGGATCTAACTTGAATCTCCCATTTCCCCTCGCTCTGTCCAGCAAGCGCTTCAAAGTGTGTGTGGAATGGCACCATACACCTCCTTGCTGTAAGCCGACTTGGATATGAGCTGTACGCTAAAGCAGCTGTTGCCGGAGGGCATGCACCCCAGAGCTGCTTATCAGGGACTCAGCGGGTTCCAGCAGTGCAAAATTGACTCTTAAATTGCATGAAACTGGTCTAAAGTAATTTCTTTAGACACTCGTAGCTGAGCTCAGGGTACAGAGGAAGAGCTTTTCAAGTTCCATGTTCCCTGCTGACAGCTCCCTGCACAGGCATCCCACGGAGTCCTTGGGCTTCCTGCTGGTGCAGAACCCTGCTGCTGTTGTTAGCTCACATCTATCATCAAAGCCTTAATCCAGAGTAGGATTTAAAGAAAATGGAGATTGTCCATCTTCATGCTGTTTTCTGTCCTCCTGTGCCTTTGGGACTATTACCATAAATGAAGGGGAACTTTACAATTGCAGTTTCTCTAGAAAGACACTGCTTAAGGAAGGTCTGAAGAATAACTGGGAGAAAGCCTTGTAGGTATTTCTATAGAAATTCTAACTTCCTTGTACCACTGCTCTTCTTGATTATATTAGGTCAAGAATTGTGTCTGTACATCTATGTATGGGGGGCGGCTCCGGGTGTTGCAGTCTACTACAGCTTGTTACAACCAAATGTTTTCTTCTCTTTCAGCTGTTACGGTGGCCTTGGACGCTCCTGTCTCAGTAAGCAGTTGTCTTCCCCCTCTCAATGCCTGACTAACTAACCCGTCTTACAAACCCATGCTCGTGAGACAGCACTGTCTAAAGGAGCCAGATTCTGCTTGAAGCTTAACTGTGGTTGCAACGCAAACTGCCACTGCAGGTAGCAGGCTGGTTAATGGTTTTGAGCCCGTTTCTTGGGAAAGGTGTTGTCAAATGGTAGTAACATTAGCTGCCTGTATAGAAACTGCTGGTGGTGAGTGACACGAGTATGTCATGGTATAGCTCTGAGTATGTAGGTGAGGGGATGGAGGGTCGGGCAGGGTCAGTCTTTCAGTGAGGCTGATGAAGTTCTCACTTTCTGACTCTTTCTCTGTTTTCACTGCAAATGTTAGTCTCCTCTGATTGATGGGATTGTGCTTTCCCCTCTTCCCTAAACACCCATCAAGAAAAGGAGATGAACCTATTTCTCTGCATTTTTCTGCAGCCCAGCGTTCCCCCTAAGGTTTTCAGGGGCATTAGTTATTGCGTGTGCCCCAGAGAGAAGGGGTGGCAATAGTGCCAAAAAACCAAACGCGGTCAGAAGACACAAAGGGGAATTAACTGGGTGTACTGGGACTTGTTCTTGGAAAGACGTTAGGATTTGCCCCCTGAATGCTGGAAAGGCATGGGGCAGGGAAAAGTGGGATGGGTTTTGCCTGTTTCCAAAGCCTGCAGGCTTGGGCAGGCGCAGCAGGCAGACGGGCCAGTGCCAACACATGGTGTTCAGCAAAAGATCCAACAGATCTGTGACCCTGATATGATGAGGCTGTTTTGCTAGAGCGGTTTCCGTGGAACAAACCTATTGCTGTGCACCTTTCCCTTACAGTAGCTGCGTGTCTCCTGCTTCAGCTTTCGGATGCGCTGGCACCTCAGCAAGCGATAGACAGCCTCAGGAACTTGAGAGGATCTGGGGCGATACAGACCATCAAGGTAATGAAGCTACAACAGGTGACATGCGTGTCGAAACAAGAGCGGCGAGCGGCACGGTCCTCTCCTTTGCTTCACAAAGGGATCCCTCTGTCTGTCTGAGATCCTCCACAGCTGGTGCCCCTGCTGCTCCCTGGAGTTTGAGCCAATTCTGTCTTGCTCTGCCTCTACTGAATTTAACAGCTGTTCCCCCTCTCTGCTCTTCACCATCAATAGTAACTTGTTGCTGCCTCCTTATCCCGGCTCATCACCCATTGAACTATTGTCCCTTTTTCTGTTGCTCACATTCTCCTCACAACTTGGACACCTGCTTGTTTTTTCCACCTTGGTTCTGCTCCATCTTCCTAACCCAGCGAGCCATGTTCCTCTTCCGTAGCTATCACATCGATCTGCTGGCAGTTGTCTTTTAGGAAGTATCCCTAGCACTAGTGTTAAAATCTACACAGAGGGAGACCTAAGTTGCTGAACATAATGAGTTTTTCTTCTTTTGGTGGGATTTGTAGCTACTCTGTGTACATATTTCTGTTGTTACGAGTCCTAGATGCTGCACTCTTAAAACTGGCCTATGTACAGGAAAGAGGAGCTGACATTTAAAAAGTTTACGAGACAGTTTCTGAGGGGGAAGAGTTGCCTAAAGAGTGTCTCTTTGTTAGCTCTAAGCCTCTCTGGATGGCAAATCTTGTTTAAACTACTTGTTGAAAATCAGTTTTCCACAAACCAAGGGGGCAGGTGGGGAGCAGCTTGCATCCCTGGTTGAAGAGGCAGGGAAGGATACGAACAAATGTTGTAATTAGAAGCCCTCACAGCCACTTGGGGTGGATGATCTGTCCTTCAGCCTCTGCTGACCAACACTTTTATCTCATTTCAAACACTTGCATATTACTCCACATGATGTATGAGTTGGCCTAAGAACTCTCTACTACGAGTGTTGTACACCATCGCACTAGCTAAAGGCGCCATCTTGGACTCATTATGGAGGGAGTAGCAGTGCTCTTGGTGACCCAAATAAAGCAGCTGTGAATTCTGACATGAAACTCCCCCCTATGAGGATCATGTTTTGCCTTACCTTGAGCTCACGTGTGCCCTTTACGAGGAGCCACAGGACTCAAACCAGGATCCATCTAACCCCTGTCTGATGGTGAGAAATTCCAGGGGATTTGGAGTAAGCACATGAAGAAGAAATACCCCCGGATGAGAACTGCCCCCCTCTAGCCTGTGTATCAAAGAGCTTTTTAAGACTTTAGTCTTTTTAGTAGGGCCAGCTGTGACAAGACAAGGGGTAATGGTTTTAAACTAAACCAGGGTAGGTTTCAAGGTGTCCCTGCTCCTGCAGGGGGTTGGGCTGGGTGACCTCTAGGGGTCCCTTCCAACCCAAAACATTCTGTGATTCTATGATTTTATGAAGACAGGTAGTGCCTCTTCCCAAAGTGTAGCGTGCTCATTACAAATCTGGTTGTGCTTTTTCAGCAATACAATTACCTCCACGACTTTCGAGAGAACCTAGCTGCACATCTGGCAACCAAGGACACAATATTAAGATCGGTATCACGGTAACTAATGCCGGCGCGCTCTACCTTTGTGGCTGCGGCAGACGCCTGGACGAGACACCTTGCTCCTGACCTTTAGCTTCGCATCGCTGCTGCCTGTGACACAACTGCTCACTTCCACATCTGTGTGTACAATGTTGGGGTGGGGGGGGGGGGGGGGGGAAATCCTACAGGACATGCAGCACCCGCCTCTGTTAGGAAGTCTTTAATACTTTAATACTCACTGCCTACTCGCATGGAAGCGTATTTGTGTTCATTACTGTTCCTCTGGCGGCCTGCAGGCCTCCTGAGCTTGTGTTCATTACAATCATGAGTCTTACACAATGTCTACCTCGTGTTTAGCATCACTTGGTGCTGACGGCACGCACCTCTGCTGCCATTGACCTGGTACGCTGATGGTTTCGTGTTGACATCCTACAGGCTGCTTCAGTGTACTTACCGAGGGGAAGGGAGGCCAGGCTGTCAAAGCAGCGACTGAATTTCATTTTGACTTTGTCTCCATTCTGTGTAGCGTGAGAACTGGGACGCACAATCGGACGCGAAGGCAGGATCTGCGAGGACACGGAACAGTCTGTAGCTCCTCACAGCTAAGTGCAGACTTCCAGTGCCGGCAGGCTGGCTTCTGCTCCAGTGCGTAGGGGAAGGAAAAGGGGGAAGAGGTGAAGGACAACTCCTCCTCTACTGCCTTTGTAAGAAGCATGCTGGGGTAACGTAGCTAGATTAAAATTCCATCACTGGAGCTGTTTAAAAAAAATACCTGAGCTCTGGCTTTAAACTAAAGGAGAGTTAAGCGTGAAGATTTTTGGAGTGCTCACGCCTTACCAACTAGTAACTCGTTCATTTTAGAAAATGTGACGGTGTTGCTCTTGGTGTGTTTTAGGAAGGTGACCTCTCATTCCAACGGGTGGTTTTATACTGAAGCTCTGTGACAAACCAAGCGGGTGGGGTTTTAGGTATAGCCTATGTATAGGAAGAGACACTGTGCTGTAGCCACGTGAGCAAGTTGCTGGCACAGTGCTTCTGTACGCTAATGCTGGAGAAAGTAAATAAACAGCTGTGGGCTGGAGAGGACCTCACAGTAACACGCCGGTAACACTCTGCATCCCTCCTGTTTTAACTACATCCACTCGTGAAGCCCGCAGGAGATGAGCAGACGCCTGAAGAAAACATTTAAACTGGTTCTGTCCTATTCTGAGGAAGCGATGATCACCCCCTTCAGTGCCCAGGTATCCTCCAACCCCCTGTGAGGTAAGCTTTGGCTCTGGGCAGAAACCCCACGTCACCCGGGCCGTGCCCTTCCCTGTGAGACAAACCCACGGCGCCAAGGTGCTGGTGCCTCTGGGCTGAAGTCGCCGGGGAGTTGCTCTCAGCCGAGTGTCAGCATCCTGGCTTGTCCCCCTGCCTCATCCCCGTCTCTTTGCAGTTAATTCTGTAAGTGCTTTTTTCTCCAAAAATAACGCTTCAAGAAACCAGCTGGTTACCTGGTCAGTACCAGCACCGAGGCGGTGCTGCAGCCCTGCTCCGAGGGTCACCGTCCCGCGCTCCCCAAAGCTGCAGCCTACGCTTCCCCACTGCCTACAGCGACACGGAGGTTTATGGTGCTTTTTGATGAAGTTTCAGTAACTTTTCAAGTCAGAAGTTGTGACGAGACTCTACTGCAGCACCGGTGGGTCTGAATTGTGAAGTAGAACTCGCTGCTTTGCTGATTTTAAATTTATAGCCTTCTCTTAACATGTTGTTTGAACCCAGACAGTTGAAGACATGTTTAAAGGCGATTCCTACGGATTATATTTAATTAGCTTTTACTGCCATTTACTCTCCACCCCTAAGGCAGGCAACAGGAACTCTTTGTTTCCACAGCTTGCAATCACTCACAGCAAATACTTTGCTCAGAGTGTGCATTGTTCCTTCCCTGATGCTGCTCCTCAACACTCAAACAGAAATACAAAAAAAAAGCATCCATCTGTCCCTTCTTCAGTACTTAGTCCTTGCAGCTGATGGTTTCCAGGTAATTAATAAGTATATATCGGATGCCTTTTTAAGATGGCTTAGCAGGAAACATGCTGACAGAGAGAGAAGCGTTCTTTCCTCCATAATCTTTTGCCCCTTGGAACTCCGAAGATCCCTTCCTATCAGATCCACGTTTTGAATACACCACGTCTGGCACTCCAGGCGTCACACGTGCTTCTCCACAAGGACTGCGCCGGCTGCCATCGCTGGCTACAGATGACAATGCTCACACCACCTAGCAGCTGGGGGATGCTGGTGGCCACCAACCTTTTTTTAAAAACAAAAGCGCTGAAACCAGTTTCTAAAGAGCACTCTCTGAAAGACTCCGCTGGGCAGTCATTGCACTTCAACACACTGGCTTCTCACAGGGCTTTTTAACTTCCAACTCGCACTTCTGCCCTTTCTCTGCAATGCTTTAACAGTTTCAAGACCTCTGAAAGGCGATCACTTCAGTTCTTCAGGTCTCCTGTGTTTAACCACAGCGGGCAGGACGGGCTCCAAATCAGCATTGGGGGTCAGCAGTGAACTCAAGTTCACCAGTGGAACTGCACTGGCAACCTACTGTGCTGTTTTCACCCTCAGATTCCTCCATTCAGGAATACTCACACGCACTTCCATTAGAGGTGTAAAGGCTGTCACCCACAGGACAGTGCAAATGTTGCAAACATCTTGCCAAATAAATATTTGCAGGGAGAGGCTCCACAGCTGGAGGGGGAGGTCAGAAGCAGCCGTTGGTTGGACTCAGCAAATCCTGCACTGCTCAGGCTGCTGGGCAACTTGGCTTGAATCAGCCCAAGCACCAAGGGAATGAGATTTGTTTAGAAGGCCAAGGAGAGCTAGGGGCTGTGAGCCAGTGTGTCTCATTTCCATAACAAATTAATAAATATACAAACATACGAAAGGGTTAATTAGTTTTGCTTACGCAGGCTGAAGTCACATCTCACAGCAGTCTCTGAAGGAGCTAAGGAGCAGGAAAATAAAAAATGCTCCAACAGGAATGAGATCCCTGAGTTTCCAAAAAGCCTTTCAAAAATTCTTTTGCTAAAACCTCAAAATTGTTATTGCACAAGGAAGAAAATCCTCATCAACTAACAACGGATGGGAAGGGATTGCAGAACGGGAATAAAGAGTTTTCAGTGAGGAGGGGCTCCTGGCAGAGCTCCAGAGGCATGCACGTTGGAAACCCTGCCTTTGCACGGACAACAAGGGCTGTGAGATAAAGCCTGCAACTGCTGCACAGGTTTTGGGACAGTCAGGAAAAAAAACCAAACCAACCCATCACCAAATTTTGTAAAGCTGGATGCTTGAGCAGTGATGGCCTGTGGAATTAAGCATCAATAAATGCAAAGAAGAAACACATGTGGGAGAAACAATGTTCTACACCTAGTAATAAGCTGCTGGGTATCTATTGTTACTTGGGAAAGAGAATGTGAAGTTATCACAGCCTGAATTCTCAGACCTCCAGTACTTCATAAAAAAAGGAGAGGAATTCAGAAGCAGACAGCTGGAAACTGCCGCTCTAAATCCCCTGGGCACCCAAATCCTGTGTGATGACAATAGCACTGCTCTCCTCCAGTTAGAGAAGGGAAACTTGTGGAGAAGAAAGGGGAATTGCAAAGCTACGGAAGGACTTCCAACCAAGAAGAGATCAAATGGACACCTCTGCTGTGACAGATGACATGCTGAAGGTCTATTTAATCATGCCCAGCATAAATAAGGTAGAAATGGGAAAAATCTTCAATATGTCTTAAAAAAGTAAGAGCTTAGGGGCACCAAATGCAAGCCCGACAGAACTTTTAAGCAAGTATTTTTTCCACACTGAGTAATTCCACTGCAGAGCTCACTGCCTCAGGGTATCTTCCATACCAGGCTATAAACGTGCCCAAAAAGCAACAGAATTAACAGAAGAAAAGCTACTCCGGGGCTGTTGGAGCAGCCAAACCTCAAGCTCAGGGTGTCTGTAACAGGTAGGATTTCCAAGTAACATGCTAGAGATCCAACGCCTGCCCTGTTTCATAATCTTTTTCCTCAGTCGTTGCCACAGCCCCCTGTCCAACACTGGAGCATCTGGATTTTGGGTCCAGCACAGCACAGCCATCCATACAACTTCCATCGCATCCAACGCCCAGGAGACCCAAAGTGACCAAGTACACGGTTTATACAAAAACGTTTTACTAGAACGGGGAAGCTATTCATTATTCTCCAGCACAGGTAAATGAAAAAGACTCCTAATTATTCCTCCTAAATTAAGCAGCTGTTGCAGTAACAATTTACAATGTAATATTATCAGTTTAGATGAAACATCTTCCTTACCCCGCCCCATCTACTACTTATCTGCAGACCCATGAAAAAAAAAAAGCAGGAAATCAGAGCTTCCCTTTTCCAGACGTAACTTCATTCAGTGTTCTATTTTTAAAAGGTAATGCAATCATCTGTCACAAGACGAACAGATGAATACAGCAGGTTCAATTTAAAAACAAAACAAGGCACCAGGTAAAAATAAGTGTTTCTGAATTTGAGATTTTTTTTTTATTATTATTTATTGCACTAAGGAACAGCAGGGCAGTTTCACAATCTCACTTTCTGCTTTGAAAAGGTCTGTAGTATTACTCTTAGACTCAAGAGTATTTTCATCATTGGACTTGATAAATGTCGTAGGTTTGTCCATTTGTTAATAAGACAGCACAGACATTAAAAAAAAAAACATCATCGTTCAAATTCACTCCTTTGTGGACAATTCAACTTCTCCGATCACAATGACAGAGGCTTGAGATTAAAGCAAGGCTAACTTTCAGTGAAAATACAGAAGTCTCTAAACCACGCCTATACAGGGGAAGATTAACTGACAGAAACAAAAATAAAAATAAAATAAACCAAACCGAAATGCAACTATTTTTGCAATTGCGTCCACGAATTCATCTCTTAAGACCAGCATGGCCTACAGGTAAAACACACAGCACCTCCAGTCCTTCCCAAGCACTCGGCGGCTACGGCTGCTGAACAGTTAGAGTGGGATACACAAGTCCAAATGAGCCACTACTAAGCCCAGCCTAAAGCAAGCCCCTAGTGTACTAAGGCTAGTCAGTAACGAACGCCTACGTGAAGATTACGGCTGTTCCTTATGGAGTGCAAAGTCAAAGCTTCTCAAAACCCAGTAATCTTTATATTAATTTACCTGTAATTCTTTAATTTCAGTGTCCCAGTAAAATATAAGAAAACAGTCTTTCCACAAGTATAAAATGTGGAAATATTTTAAAAATAGGGGAGTCATGGTTTTCTAACGCAAATGCGATCATCAGATTCCGTATTTAATCTTGGTGCGAGGTTCTTGTTGTAAAGAATCCATGTTTTGTGGCTTTTGCATGCACTTAACGGGAACAAAGCTTGCTGAGTGTCTTCTTAAGAGCTCACCAGAACATAAATCATGCTGGAAAATAAAATCAAAACATTAAGATGCGCCATTTTGATTAGCGTTATACATTTAATTATACAGTCTTCTATTCTACGGAACAAATCTGTGTGAGGTACGTGGATTGTGACCGAAGATTTTACCCAAAGTCACAAAGACATCAGAAGGGGATTATAAAGCACGGCACGAACTGATGCGACAGCCAGTTGTCACCACATCAAGTGACATCGTAACAGGGAGCCCCGTACACAGGTGGCACCTACGTGTCAAAAGCCTGAACTATTCCAGCCGTGCTGCAAGCGGCGCAGCGTGCTGAGGAAGGAGGACTGCACGCCGGGTCCCGGCATGTCTGGCACATGGATTCAAATGGGTAATTCCGACCAAATTCAGAATTGCGTTTTAAAGCAGAATAAATGGCAATCATGGATTCTTTTTCAGGGAAGCGGGCACTAGATATATTCCCAAGAAAAATTCCTCTTGCGCACTGAGCCCGATCAAAAAAAAAAATTTCAGACTGAAGGGAGACGGAGGGGGGAAAAACAAACAAACAAACTTACCCATATAGGTAGTAAAAAAACGATAGAAGGTAGAATGCTAATTTGCACCATCCTTCCTTCTGGCAATAGGCTAAAATATCTGCATTCATGATGGTTGTAGGATCATACAGACCAGGGCCGCTCATCACAGGTCTACTCATGTACCTGGAAGCGAGGCACAGTTAGTTTTGTGGTGACAGCGACGGGAAACATCGGTTCCTGCCCCCCACCCACCAAGTAATACCAGAACCGAGACAAGGAATCATCCCTCACAGCCAAGCCCACCAGCTCCACGCAGGAGATGGTGAACCACAAGAGGCTCCAAACTAAACGTGCCTAGGGAAGAGCTTCCACAGCCGGCACCGCAGCAGCTTGCCTCAGCCTTAAGCCGTGCTGAACTCCCGTACTCCGAAAGGCAACAGGACAAATTTGTAAGTGAAAAATGGAATTCCTTATGAAAGCGTCGGAAAAGCGGGAGAAGAGACCAACGTATCAACGTGCATGAGCTACAGCCTCCGCTCACAAACACAGCGCATGCTGGCTGCGCTGCTGAAGGAACGCTCGTAGGGGTCAACAGCAAACGATCCTGACGTTGCAGTGCAGTGCAGGCTACCGGCAAAAGGAACAGACCCACTTCCCCCCCGAATTCCTCCTCACGCCAGGACTAGCACAGATACAGCCACTATGTATACAGCCACCCGGTGAAAGCTGTTTCGCCAGGTTACGTTCCAACCGGGCCAGCTCCCCGCACAGGACTAACACCAGCACGAGGAGAGGGGGGGCCCGTGCCTTAGCGGTAGGAGGAAAGCAGGATCACCGCTTCTGGCAACCCGCGCCGTGAATCTGCAGTATTGGGACACCTTGGACAGGCCAGCTGCCTTTAACGCACACACACACACAAGACAACTCGCTTCTTGCATAGCACAAGAGAAAAACAAATAAAAACAACAGCAAAAGCAAAGCGATGGCTCTTATTTTATAGCCATGACATCAACTTTCTCAACGTCGTGTTCAGAAAGCTTCTTCATTTGCCAAAGACACGGAACACTTAACGGGAAGCGCTGCAACGGGAGAGCGAGTAACAATTAACATGAGCACGGAGACCCCAGACTCCAGATATTACCTCCAAATATGATAAGCCAGCAAAGGCATATTGAGACCCAGTGTAAGCCACTCTGCTGCACAGAGAAACATAACACAGAAGAATGCATGGATGAGGTACTCTGGAAGTACAAGCTGGAAAAGAAAAACACGAGTTAGACGTTTCAATTACTCAAAGCAAAGCGCGTGGCGTTTAATCTATTTTGGAGGTAAGCTACTGTTTAAAAAAAAATATTATTAAAACCCAACACTAACAAGGACAAGACTGCAGAAAGCGAAAACAGCAACCAGCAGCACGTGCCTTGCTGTTTTCACGTGATATTCATGAATCAAGAAAAATTTCTAAACTTGAATGCTCAGATCAATAATTTAATAGACACGACAAAGCAATTTCAGTGCACCGTTAACAGATTCCACGCTTTACACGTGACCTTCACTACGGAAGAAACTGTTGAGATATTTCTGCGCATGCAACAGAGAAATATCAGTAGGAAACATGCTCCGTAGAACGGTTTATAGGCAAAAGGGGTTTCGCCTTTTCCTATTTTACAGCTTTGTTTTGGTACGCACACACAGGTAATTTTTCAAATTCAAACTATGGCCAAAATGTAATATCCTAGGCCAAGCTTTACCAAACCAAGGCAGCAGCGACGCCGCTAGGCGCATCGGTCTGCAGGGACACGGGCGCTGCGCTGCCCGCGGCGCAGGGGGGCACGACAGCAGCTACGCACGTACGGTTCCGGGCGCATCAGCCAGCTTCGGTTCCCCTCCAAGTACCTACCACGCATGCTGTACAGCCCATGCTTTCCAGCGGAAGCCCACAGAGCTAACTGACAGTTTACTACGAAATCACAGAAAGCGTGAAATGCTGGGTAGTATTAGCGTTATTAGTAGGAATAATAGGGAGAGAGACATCGGTTAAACGCATGCAGAGAGCCAGCAAAATCTCACACCCACCGCAAGAGTAAGATTTTCTAAAACAAGTCACCCCAAGGCGATACCATTTACTCCTTTATCACACAACTCCGAAAGAAGCAAACTTATAAGCTTTTCACTTCTCAGCTCAGGACCACTAAAAGATCTCCTCATGAAAAACACTCCCTTTCCACCCAAAGATTTAAACTGTCAGTGTGTATGTGCACACGCGCGTGCACACGCATACACACACTGCACCCTGCCCCTCTTTTTTTTGTGTGATGTGACTAATGCTGCATAGGACAACTGCACTGAAGTTTCAGTGGTTTATAATTTTTTTCACATCCTCTCTAAGCAGACACTGCTTTTAAACCCCAAGAATATCTTCCTCGAAACCTAAAAACTATCAACAAGCAGACATTCTCACCAACTACTTCGCTACAACATTCTGCTCCTCTAAATGGAGAATATCAAACAAAGCAAACTTGCATCAACATCAACAAAAAAAAGCTGTCATACCCAAAATGTTTCAAGTAAATATTTTTGTCCGGATCCTTCTCTGTATACTTACCTCTTACAGCTTGGCGATTATTTGTAGTAGAACAACAACAATCACCCTTCCCAAAACACAATGTATTTGGCAGCCTGCTGGGACAGATTTGCCAGGTCTGAAAATCTGTCGTGTATTTAACTACACCTCTCAAAACAGGTTTTCCTTTGTCTTGTTTATTATACCGTACTCCCCCACCAGAATACCCGTCTCTCTCAAATCCACCACATTTTATCCTCTCTGGCTGTCCTAAAAGAAAATTAACTACATCATATTCTACCATGATATTTATCACAGAAGCGAGGGAGGAAGAAATGTCATTGCTGAGAAGAGACGCTACTATAGCAGGAGCGGGGAAGAGAAGGCATCAACAGCGTACTAAGCAGTTACTATTTTGGGCTAATCTTTTACTGAGGTGTCTCAACTCCTACCAGGATTTTTGATTCTTTGTACAGGAAAACACCACTTCGGTGTGTTTGTCCAACATCATTTACCAGATCCCTGCAAGAGTCTGGATCTTAACTTCAGTTTTAGCGGCCAATCTACTTTCACAAGAGCAGCAAATATTAAGTTATTTAACGCTTTCAGTTCACAAAGCTATCATATCAATAAAGGCTACATGCACGTGGGTTAACAGAAGGTTAATATTTGCGTTAAACATGCGCACTGTAATATTTCAAAGGTCGCGATAAGATCATAATG